GAGAGAGAGAGAGAGAGAGAGAGAGAGAGAGAGAGAGAGAGAGAGAGAGAGAGAGATTGACTAGAGGAGCCGCTGCTACGTTACAGTGCCACGAACTGAGTGAGAAGTGCTATCGAAATTAATGGAACAAGGATTCGGAGAGGAAATCCATGTCACAAGCGGAAGATATTAGAATGGCGGAGAACGGGAAAGCGGAACGGGTGGGTGGATTGGGAGCAGAAAACTTTTCAACGCCCTCCATCGCAAGTGGGCTTCTGCCCACCATGCTCGTCTGTGCAGATGTCTGAACAGAACAGAGAGTTGTACGGTGGCCTTGTGGACCGATATCAGAACTGTTCAGTCTTCAGAACTGTTCAGCCTTTTTTTTCTCGCAGAATCTGCGCTATGCGGGGCAACCGCTGCACAAAGTCTTGATGTAGGGGCCGAACCTAGTCTCAATGACGGTGATCCCCTGCGGTACGTCGGGGCAGAAATACACCCCGGTAGTGATTGACAAATCACTCGGGCCAACGCTCACATGATTCACAGCACCCGTCCCTATGGTGTTATTCTGCCAAGTCACAGAGCAAAAACGTTTTTCGACATGGAAATCTGCCACGTTGACGGCGCCTCCAGCCAGCCCCGCCCTGTTTCCGATGAAAGTGCATTTCGCTAGAGTGGCTGTATAGGCATAAGACATCTGGAGCTCGATGGCGCCGCCCGTCCTTCCCGCCGTATTGCCTTCAAAACGGCAATTGGTGGTTTCGTTGACCGTGCCCTCGAAGCTAAAGATTGCGCCGCCGGCGTTTCCCGCTCGATTACGGAGGAAGTTGGAGCCGGTGAGATAAGCTCTGCCGAAAGTGTTAAGGCTAACGGCGCCACCGAACTGAGCAGCGTTTTCGATAAAATCACACCGTTCGATGTTCAACCTCCCGCTCCAGACCCCGACTCCGCCGCCTCGGAAAGACGCGGTATTCCAGCGGATAATGCTGTCGGAAACGCGCAAGCTGCCGCTGGAAATGCCATTGCCAATGTTGATGGCGGCGCCGCCAGCGTCAGCAAGCGATCGGTTGGTAGAGCGACACTCTTGAATGATAACCTGAGAGAATGTCCAGCTGCCGATGCCACGGAAGCAGCTGAACCGCTTCACTCCGCTGATGACACAGCGGCTTCCCGCGCATTTGCCATTAAGAGTGAAGGAAGAACCGCGATAAGGCAGACTGGCGGTCAGTGTTATGTTACGAGTCAAGTCGAATGACGTCACATTCGGATTCAGCAGGGCCGCACGCAAGCTCGCCTCGTCGCTCTGTGCTTGCATAGACCGCCGATGGACGCCCCTCGATCTCCAGGGAGCGCTTTCAGCTTGCTGATGGCTCAGGGACATCAGACAAGCAATGACTATCACGTACATCCTCGCCGCTGCCATCTCTCTCTCTCTCTCTCTCTCTCTCTCTCTCTCTCTCTCTCTCTCTCTCTCTCTCTCACACACACACACACACACACACACACACAGACCTCCTCACCCCGCTTCACCCAACACACACAGATACACGAGGCAGGCTCTGCGACTGTGCTTGGAGTACAACGGAACTGTAGAACGGCCGGCCCCCTTCACCAGAGCTAGGGAAGCACCCACTGCAACTCACTGGAGGTGGATATCTCACTCTCACAAGCGGAAATGATAGAGAGCGAGATGATAGAAAACGACGCTCGCTTGCCGTCTTTTGCTTGTCGACAAGTCCGCTCGTGCTGAACTCGTCTCGGCTGTGCCTTCTCTCCCGCCGCCCGCGGGTGCCAGCTCGTCAAAACAAACCGGCAACTGTGTGGAGGTGAACTTCGCCACAACTACTGAAGCAACGATGAGCGGGGAGATTCGAGTAATCTCGGGATCTGCAGATCTGTCGCCGGAGAACCAACGGGGCCCAGGCCGGGAAGGGGGCGGGGATCAAGGAAGTAATCGTCGGAAGAAAAAAAAAAAAAAAAAAAAAAAAAGAGACTATGGTGTCGACCAAGAGGTGAGATGAAAGTGAATGTATTTTTTCGGAAAAAAAAAAAAAAAAACATGGTGTGACGGGGAGGGCCAACTCGAAAGGCATCGATCATGGTGTCACCGAGTCATCAGACTACCTTCTTCCCCCGAATACAACGTACGGTCATTATAGCTGAATTTAGAGTTACAGATACACCAAATTCGGCTATAGTGACCGTACGTTGTATTCGGGGGAGGAAGGTAAACGATTGACGGCCAGCAAAAAAAAACAAGAAGCGACAAGAAAACAGAAACAAAACAGAAAAGAATGGCAATGGACGGCCAGCGCTCGCACTTTTTCGGACCGTCAGGTGCACACCGTCAGATCTTCTCCTCATTTCCTTTTTACTCTTCTTTTTGTCTTGGATTTGTTTTGTTTTGTTTCTTTCCATTTCTCGATTTATGCGTGTCATCCTTGCGCAGGGGCCATGGTAATCTTCTCTGTCCCGAGGCCCACTAGGACTACTCTTGACACGTGGCGAGTGAACGCCGCCCCGTTCTGTTGTTTTTTGGGGTCCATTCCAAGTTGGGCGTTGGGGCAATTTTCCCTTGTTCTTTTGGCTCTTTTTCCCCCTATCATCTTCATCCGGGCTTTTTTTTTTTTTCCTTCTCTTTTCTTCCGGGGAAAGAGCGAGGAAACATTCTTCACATCCGTATTGCTCCTGCGCAAGGATGACCACACTTGGGGCTGCGGGCCTATGTTCTCGGCGTATGGGCGATTCGAACCGTTGAGCTGGCTATGAACAGAGCTGCAGCTGTGTGTCATCGGTGTGTCATGCAGCCACCTCCCGGAGCAAGTCCCACTACCGGTAGCTGCGCTGAGTTTCCTCAACGCCTGAATTTGGACGTGCTTGAGGCGATGTGCGTTTTTGAGAACACTCAACGCCAGTTCTGCACATCTCCACAAACACTTCCAGATTCAGGCGTTGAGGAAACTCAATGCTGGTAGTGGGACTTGGCCCCGGAGTACCAGTTGGAACTTCTCATCTACTGAGTTCAGCCCTTCTGTTACATCATCTACTGTGCGCTGCCCTTCTGGCAGACCCAACGGCTGCTGTGTTCATGCTAAGAAGGCAGGAATGTGACCGCTAATACGATCAGTTTCGGGCGTTCTAAGCATGAACATAGCAATGGCGGATCCTACCCCCTTATAGTTAGTACGGATCCGTTTTCGGGGAGAAAAGTACATAAACGGCCCTGTCAGGTTTGCAAATCCAAAATCTAGCCCGATTCGTCTGCAGGTGGAGGTGCAGATACCGGAGTGCCCGAGTATCCGCAGTTGTAGACCTTATGCCCTGGATATTTCTGCCGATGACCTTTCAATGGACCCTCCAGACTGGGGCTAGACTAATGCCGAGCCTAAATTCATCCTGCTCACACTGGTGGCCCCAGCCATTCACCCGAACCCGGTAAAAATGTGGCCATATAAGGCCGCGTATATGTTTTCCAAGCGGGGCGGGATACTGCTGGTGTGAAACTATTGAATGGTTTGACGACTCAGTGAGATTGGGATATCAGATCACTGCGCACTCAGTAAGTGGCCTCTACAACACCCTGGACTTTATATATAAAAAGACTGGGATGGGATATCAGCTTTCAGGCCCACCCCTTGATTTGGAATGGACTGTGGCTAAGCTACGGATGGGAAGAGGGTGGATCCATGACTCCTTGCCACGGTTGACGCTACCGGAATTGGGGGTTGCTTATGGACTTACCAGTCGTTAAACCACCAGTACCTTTGTAACTCATGGCGGTTAACAAGCCGCAACAATCATGAACGAACCGGCCACTAAGGGAGCGCCCAAATTCATCTGACTAGAAACGCTTCTACTCTTTTTTTCCGGGCGGCCAATATATGGGAAAGGTATGGTTGCAGATGCATTTGGCAGTTCCTACTGCCTCGTGGTGTGCACCGAGAATTGTGAAAGTCTCGCCTTTCTTTTTGGCCTGTGCTGGAACAAGAATATGCATTGGGAACTGTAGAGACCATCCTGGGGATGGTGGAGGCAAAATTCCACCCAGATACCCTCCACCACCTCCAGAGCTAGATGGAGCCACAGAAAAAGAAGTGTTCATTTGTTTCAGCCTTCAGGGACTTTCCGGGTCGGGAAAGGTGTGCCGCAGAGTTTGCACCAAGCGAGAGCAAGGCCTCTTTGTTCAAGGTGCGTTCTGTCAATTCACCAGTAGTTGGTGGGCAGACACCGGTGGTCGACTTGTCATTGCAGTGACGCCAACTTTGCCGGTTTGGCCTTGCCGGCTCTAAAGCATTGCATGGGGCGCATGTGACCCTCTTAACCTCACGCCCTGCACAGCTTTCCTGTCGGAGTGACTAAAACACGTGGAAAGCAGCAAAATGGGGCGTGCCAAGGATTTTTGGGAAATTGACTGTGCAGATTCATACAGAACTGAAATCTCTCGTGTGGTTCCAGTATGGAGCGACGAGCAAAGCGGAAAAAGCAGAAAGGAGTCCCTCTCAACAACTACCTAATCCCAAAAGCATCCTTGAACTCATCGCGTGCAGCGCGACGCTTTTTCCCGGATCGAAAAGGAGAGGGAACATATGTGGGATCTCGGTTTCAAAGCTCAAAATCCGAGTCGGAAGGGCAAAGTCTCACTGCTTTCTCCTTGAATTGCTCTTCTCCCCGTGTCCGATAGTTGAACCCTTGGGCTCAAGAGCGCTCCGTGCTGGCACAATCGTTGCACCACATATGAGGTCAGTGGGGAGCAATTGTCGACCATGGGATGACGATCAACTCGTTGAATGGAAGCAAAACAGAGTAGGGAGGGAAACGTGTATCAATAGTCACAAAACCCGGATTGATGAACAAAGAACACCGTGCTTCTGAGGGAAAATGATAAGGGCCGCCAATCTTGGCTACGACTTCGCGTACTTCCCACTCGTAAACAAATGTTTATCTATCCTCGTCGTATGGGAAGGTCGTGGGCGGGGATGTTCGAGAAATTGGCGCCCCGATGGCTCGACTGGCTCAATCCACATGGCCAACAGACATGCATCCACCACTCACAAAACAAGGCGACCAACCCCTATTGACATTGGGAATCACCTTCATAGAGGAAATAAGGCAATACGATGTGACTTTCATGCCTGGGGTTCATACTCGAAGGGTGATTACCTAGGAAACTAATGATGGATGAGTTCAATAAGAAGTTTATGAAGAAATCATCACGGGTTTTCCAAAGGACAAAAACGAAGGCGGGTGATGATAACAACAATAGCTACATGGGTCATTGCATAGGATGGGCCTCATCCCTTCGAAGCATCAAAAAGAGCAAAAATTTTCACGAGTTGTGCAACTTTAAGGTGATGCCTATCCCATAACCCTTTGATCATGTCCACATACAGGTCATACTTCTAATCATACCAACGAACATCCATTGAAAATAAAGATAAAGAAAGCGCAATAAAGGCGACATTAACCGATTCGAGTGCTTCGCGTTTGAAAGTCATGGGAGCGCAATCGTTCCACTCATTACTTTATTCTTGCAAGTGAAAGATTGAAATGAGAGAAGCGTCAGTATTGTTGCTCGAGAGCGTTAAGGATTACTTCAGAAAAGTTTCTAACTATGAAAGGAATAACAACAACCAAAACTCATCCATTCATCCATTATTAACACACCAGATCCGTTTTCATGAAGATTCTGCGAGTCAGAAGAGAGAAACGAGAAAGAGCATATACATTAGCATATGAAGAAATAATCATCTCATTGGACCAGCTACATCTTTATTTGTACTTATAAGATTCCAGCCCAGCAAAATCTTGAAACAAGGGCGAGACGACGGGTTAGACACGAAGACAAACTTACACACATATAGTTATTGTAATCCATGCACAACCACCATTCATTCATACATTCATAGAAAGGAAGCGAGAGGGAGAAAAAAAATATACTCATGTACAATCATCATGGTCAACCAATCAACTACTACGCGGATTTGTCTGAATCTTGCAGTTCATCGCAGTGATCCAACACACAATGTCGCAAAGTTGCAATCGACTCGTCGAGACTTTCTAATTCGTTGATCACCCTCTCATCTAGCCACTACTGCAGCAGAGGTTGCCGATGCATTGATGGAGAGAAAAAACGATGCACTTACGAGATTTATACTTGTGAAAGAGAAGGGAAGAGAGCGATGATGAGGAATAGAAGAGAGGAGAGATGAAAAAAGGGGAGGCATGCGGGAAGGTCATGTCGATCCACTCAAAGTACTTTGTGGCCAATCGGATCGCAGGGTGAGGATTTCAGAGTCGCCCGACTTCCACGATTACTTGGGGGAACGACAAGGCCTTCTTGCGTGTAGATGAAGGCAGAAAAAAGGTTACGGTGTCGAGCGCATCGGTTTCTCATCGCACTAAGGTGGGACTCTTCTGACCGCGTCACGCAGGAGTTAGTCTTACTCATCGCGATACACAAGGAGCTTCCGCAAGTCGCTCCTGCCGAATGCGCCAACCATACCTCTCGCGAACCCCTACGATAGGATAGAGCCAACGTGAGGTACAACTTACCTCCACCCGCGGGAGCTGTCACCTCCCTTCAATAGGCGTATCCCCGACGAGCTATCAGTCCAGAATACGAAAGCTTATCAGTTGCAATCGTAGAGGTGGACCAATAGAGGGCGTTTCTTGTACACTGTAGCATAGGGGTTACGCGTGGTCCCACGCCTCTATCGAATTCGCATGCGAACCGACGCACTGGGGGGCTGAAGTTCCAAGCGCGACTCGTTGTGGGTCGACTACGACGCATCCCACGCACCACGCGTTATACCACGCTAAAAAATATAAAATTAAAATAACAC